ACGAATTTGGTTTTGACAGGAGACTCACCTGGAACCCAGCTGAATCTCTCGTTCATGATGTTTTTAAGCAACTGAATGTCCTGCACCATGCCGTGTAATGTTTCATTTGGAATCGCGATACATAGACATACGCTACTCATAAGGCTGTCGAAGAGTTTTCAACAACCTCATGAGTACGAAACGTAGCAGCTGCGGATGAGATGCACTTCGCGTTATTTCAGTTTTTTATTGTGCTACTCACCCTCCACAGTAGGTGATATTTTCGACAATTCCGGCCTTTGTGATCGTTCGGTGGCCACATCGTTTTTGTCCAAAGCCTTGGCAAAAATGAATGAACATATTTTCCGGCGCGGTGTCTAGAGAAAGGTATGAAGCCTGGCCGGCTATCTGGCTGAACACAAATTCATGTGGATCAGAACCCAGATGGCTTGTGCTTTAAGTATAAATCAAGATTGCAGTAACCGATCTCAAAACCCCTTGGGTGTTCTTTTTGTCAGCGCACTGGGAGGCCTCTGTGATGTCTTTTCCGCATGACGCTCGTAAGCATATATACTTGGCGTTATTTCCTTGTTCAGTGCATGCTTTCTGGTTAGTTAGTGCGTACATTTCTCACCGCTTCACCCGTGGAAAATTTCGCGAAGATCTGAAGCCTGGAAACCATTCTGGTTGAAAGTAGTTTCTCAGACTTTCCTCTTTGGCACCTTATCGAATAAGGAAACAAATGTGAACCTCAAGTACGGTCGTTTTAGACCTATCTACCTTCCCACTTGGCTCACAGTAACACGAAATATGTTTCAGCAACGCAGATTGCTTTTGGTAAGTTGTGACGTGCCGCATTATTCGTCACTGATCGAACATGGTTAAGAAATCTTACAATGAATTCATTTACCTTTGAACGGATTAAAAAGTACGGTTGCCCTTGTGTCTTGTTTTAACCAGATATCGGCTGTTGAAGTAGGACCTCTTGCTGCCAGTTATATGGCTTTTGACTTTTCTTATCTATTATTCTTGTGGTGGAATCTATCTTAGCTTACCGATTTAGGTCGTTCATAGTTCGTTCTCTCAGCGGTACGAAATCTCACTGGAAACGGTTTAACGAAGGTCACTTAGTAGTGCACTTTCGATGGTGACCATAATACAAATCAGGTGTAAGCACTAATAAAGGTTTTTAGTATGGTTGTCAGTAGTGGGTTGCAACACGTATAAAAATAAATACAGTGCGAAATGGGAGCAAGTCAGAAAGGGAACTTATCGTATGCGAGAGTCCCTTGGTGAAAGTCCGGACGGCGGGAACGTGTTTTTCTCCGCAGTGCGGCTGCTACACGTGTTCCATAATTGTCCATGGACTTGTGGAGTTTGGTTGACTTTTTGCCTCCCGCGCGTGCGTATGCGGGCGGTGACTGTGTTGTGTCTTCCTATATATAGGAAGGTTTGTCGTGTGTATACTACATAGAATCGTTCCGACGCGTACCGGACGGAAACTGACTTGCCAATCAAACTTGCAAACATTACATTTAGTGTGACGTGGTTTGTGAGCATGAAAAAAAGACAAGTCTCGTGATCCAGTGAGCGACTGTGAGCTGAACAGTCAAGTATGTGGATGACTGGTTTGCTACACGCTGGGTTCGTGTGTTTATTGTTACCCAGACCTTGGGAATACACAATGAAGTACGTGGGAGGGATGGTGGCACAAGAACACGTTGACTTTGTCTTTTTTCTCTAATATCGAACCACAAACATATGGAGCTTTTGCTTTTCTAGGTCATCCTTAAATTTGTTGGGTTCAAGTTTACTTTTTCTGCACTGACCAACTGATGAAACAGAACATCTCTTTCTTACCGCAATATCTGAACAAGTTCACCAACCACTCAGTTGGCCAAATCGTTTCCTTCTGGAAGCAGCAGTTTTCTGAAGTGGTAGGTTTTTTTCACTCATGGAAGTGACTCGGCCAAGTGCGGACAAGCTTCGTGCAATTCCGTGCTGCCCAATTTTGTCTCAGGACGCGTCCGCAGCTGGTGATCGTGGTTTGAGATCATATTATGCCACTCTGAATTGCGGAAAAACGCAGGCATTGGACCCTAGCGTTCCGTATTTCTCGTTAAATCAGTTACCATCAGTGCGATTCACTTTAGCTGAGACTGTTATAACATGGATTTCCATCAGAGTCTGTATTTGCTATTGAAAATTGTTGAAGTGAATTGTAGCTATCTTCTTTAATCGTCTGTTTGTTTCTGCATGACGGAACCCGGTTTTCATACCCCGGAGCTTTGAACCTTTCTCTTCTCTCCTTCCTACAGCATTCCTTTCGGATCACTCTGAACGATGGTCATAGAATCATCTCGCTCCAGCGTGAAGTTTCTTTCTTTCAAACTTTCTCGTGTCCGTTATGTTAGCCAACCGGAGGTCCAACAGCAAGAACTGGTCGTCACCGGAAGCTGGATGGAGGAGGTATGAACCCTCTCAATTTCTCTGTAGTCTTATACGTTTCCAAACATGACGCGTCCTGCCCAGTCGTGAAAATCACATATCATTGTTGTTTCGGAAATATCTTATCACCGTGAAATATCTTATAGAGTTATCTATATGCCCATGTGATGATTTTGTGGTATATCGAAGCCCTGGTTGCTTGCCGTCTTGTGAGCACCAATTGTTGTTCGCAAATCTAGACCTTAATCTTGATCTTTGTCTCATGGAAGATCCCGGACTCCGCGTAATATAACAATCAGTGACGGTAGGATTATATACTCAACTTCACAGTCCTAATTTTTTTATGAAAAAAGGTTCCAAGGGCATGTTTAGCAGTGTAACATCAGTATCCGCATCATTTTTGTCCAGTCTTACTCCATTGTCAAGTGTAATTAGTTTTCTAATTGAGGCATGTCGGTAAAATCAACCTATGGTGAAAAGCCATGGAGCACTGTACGAATATTTTACCCATATTTGGAACCGTCAGTGGTGTGCATCCCACGCACCCCAGAGTTTCGAACCCGTATCCTTTCGTCTGTAAACCATGGTGGTAGGTAACATGTTTTCAGGTGAGGTACAAAACGGAGCACGAAGGTTGGATGACTTATGTACTTGGCCAGCGTGAAAATGGAGATCACTAGCAGTTTGGTTTCAAGTAGAACATAAGGAAATTGGGGGGCTGCGCCTACCTGATGAGCCCTAAGAAGGGCCAAACCGGCCGTGGACTGTCGAAGAATTTTCAGCAATCTTATGACTAGTGTACCACGTTTCTACATGTATCGCGATTTCTCGAATATCGTACCAATTGAAACATGAGGCGGCCTGATGCAGCACATTCAGTTGCCTGGAAACGTCATAAACGAGAGATTCAGCTGGGTCCCAGGTGATTCTCTCGCAAAAACCAAATTTGTTTGCAAACGAGTGTATTTCGCTTTGCATACATTCCTGTTCTTTGCCTTGATGCAGGTTGAACTTTAACTTCTCTGCTGAGTCTCAAACTTTTGTTTACAATGCCCCACATATTTACTACGATATACGTTTTCTTCAACAGCAGTAATTTTGCTGATCAGTTGCTGCGTTTTTTCAGTGTGCATCACTGTGCCTACTAAAAAGATGTCTTCGGCAATGTCAACCACATGATGCCTTTCAACCGTGTTAGATCTCATCTGGCGTGGGTGCGCTTCTCTGATGGATTGCATACGAATCATATGGGATTTTTTTCGGAGACAAGTGAACAATATCACATATACAGCCAGTAGTGAAAGGAAGAAGGCCTTCGCTGCAGAGTTATTTATTAGAAAATGTCAACACTTACAGACTATTGGACAGGGAAGCAAAACTCTCGTGCATCTCATTTACAAAAACTGAACATCCATCTTCTCCCGAACGCGTCTTCTTGGACATTCCTGGATATTAATTGACTCAAATTCAAGCAAGTGCTACAAAGCGACTCCACAAATTCCGTGACAGCTTTCCCTTTTCAAGAGACGCAAAGCGAATTTACAAGAAGAAAACCTACTACTCGCATGCCTCCCCATCAGTAGTAAGTAGTATCGGTTTCTATGTTCATGCTGGCCAAGTGCATAGGTCATCCAACCTTCGTGCTCTGTTTTTCACTTCATCTTCAAACATGTTGGTTATCACCATGGTTTACGGCGAACAAAACGACGTCGAATATATTACTGGATGAATAAGTTAAGGGGAAATGCATTGCTACATCCTTCCAATAGTCTACGACCATGGAGAGTATTCATATGGGAAGGGACGTTCTTTGAAAAACATTATCGATCGGCCTCCGTGATCATCACAAGAGTTACAAATTCTGCCCGTCCAGAGAGGAAGCCTTTAGGTGCGTTGTTGTAGAGCACGGTTTTTCTGGAGCATTTTGTGCGCACCCACTGGTGGAATCGGTTGGTTCAGTGCCAGTTTTCAGATGACCGTCACTATCACTCTCGAATATTACGAAGTGAAGACGAAGGTAGAAAGGTGAAAGTGCTTCATATGTTTTCACGTAGACTGACACCGGTATCCCTAGTCATTTTATCACCGGCCTTCAAGTTATTCAGAAACGTGATCACTGTTTCTTTTTGAATGCATCAATTACCGAGGCTTCTCGGAACCAAATGCAGTTCTTCGCTTAAAAATTAGCAATAGTTTAGTTCAAAAAGGACGGCCAATTGCAGCTTTTTCACCGGTAGTTTTCATATGCTTACAACCTGAGTATGTACCATTCAGTCCATGCTTCGATCCGAGCAATTTCTGAAGCTGCAGTCACAGGAAATACCTAACTGGAATCCCTAAGAGGTACTTTTAACGCTGCCGCGCACAAACTTTCATTCTACAATGCCTTTTCGCTCATTACTAACGTTCGGTTCACAGTTCATCGGTATCTTTTGGTTCATTTGTTTGCGAGTGTTTCGTGGCACAACTCGGCCACCATATCAGAGAGTCAAAGAAGGGTACTCTCCAAGTCGAATAGCTGATGCCTCGACTGTCAAACATTTGGCAGAAAGAGGTCATTAGGCCAACCAAGAAAACCGGTCAGAATTATCGACCAAGTTTCTGAAAATAGAATGAAAGTAGACAGACACTTGGTCCTTATTATGGCTGGGCTGATCGCAGTTGACGTTCGCTCTTCGTTCAGAAGTCATTAACCCAGTCAACTCAACTCACCTAACTGGGGTCGACCGGCCGGAAGCAGCCACCTCCATCCTGTCACCCAATTTCTGTTTACCCTATTGCCATCCTGGAGGTCATATGTACATATGTATGGTTTGCTTTATTTTTCGGGTAAAAGCCAGTCGCAAAATTACCTAACACTTCGAGAAATACACTCATTCGCAGTATATTTTCATGAAGGAAGTTGATTTGCAAATGAATGTATTTCTCAAAAACAGTCCAATTTGGGTTCAAGTAGAACATGAGGTTGATGGTAACTCGAGGACTGCGCCTACCTGATGATCGCAAAAAGGGCGAAACCAGTCGTGGTCTATTGAATAATTTTCAGCAAGGCTGTAGAGAATTTTCAGCAACCTTGTAAGTAGTTACCTAACACTTGTTCAGTTAAAATTGTGTTGCGATAAAATGTTAGAATATTTAACCGGACTTTGCATCGAGTTGTGAGCGTAGATTGTATTTCAGCCTTTCTGCGATGATGATCCACTCCCGCTATTGCCAAATCAATCTTCACTTTTATCAGGTTAACCGTCTGTGTTTGTGGCGCTTCGACTATGGAGAACAAATAGATTCCGGCCGATTCAAGCCCACTTCGGAACAAGAAGACGGTGTTAGCCCTGGTGTTTTGGGTGACTCAGCTGATGAGCCGCGCCTCGTTCACTCTATTGTTCATACTGGATGGGTTCAAGACTTAAAGGTAATTTCTCTCTAGTTTATGCCCGTTTCACCCCGTACAGCATTCGCATGACCAAATGCCCAAGCTTTTTAGATGGATTTCGCTTTCCGTATTACGTCTTTCCCAAATCTTTTCATCTAATGTCCATGGGAAAGTTTGTTTTGTCTACCTAAACGAATTTTTTTCTCACTCAACGGATTCTTAGGAATAGTTTACTTGTATAGAGACGCACTCTTTTTTGGTTGGGGGGGGTCCGATCTCTGAAAGAGTTGGAATCCAAAGCAGTGAGGCTCGTTAGGGTCATGGACAGTGCGAGAAGTTTACTGACATTAAGGCTATCCATTGCTGAATCTCAAATATTGTTTTCAATCGCCCATATTCCCTGTCATCACCCACATTGGAACTGGCTATCTCTCCGAATTGAGCCAGCTGTCGCTCGTTTACTGCACTGGTTTGAAGGCCGGATTGCGTTAGGTCTCACTGTTCAATGTAGTTGGGTTTGCTCTCGAAAAGGATTTTTCAGGTGGCTTGGTTTTGGGCGAAAATAAAAGCGTCTGTATATCGTCGGTGGTGCTTTCATTCATCCGGTTAATTTCTCACCGGCTAAATATACATAACACTTGGGATTTCAGCCGTTCAATAACTTTCGATGCAAGCCAGGATTCTATTGAAAGCCTCACTGCCGGTTTTCAACAAAAGTTCGTGTAGCTTACAGGTGAACGTCGTGCCTGTGAATTTCATCATGCATGCAAGTCCTTAGACTTGCATGGAACATGCCTTTCTGAGTGGACATTTCCAGCTTCGAATGAGGACAGAGGAATCTGTTTCACAAGGATCCATCCAGACATTCACCTGACCCTTTGTGACGTTATCACACCAATGGGCATTTGTGAGTACTAAATGAGTAACGTTTCAGGATGGACGAGTCGCCAGAGGGGGAGAACTAGACATACATGATGTTTGAAATCACTGCCATTTACTGGCATTCAGAGGATCCCTGGCTCCGATGTAATTCATATATCAGTAAAAATCTATCGAATACACCGAAATGGGGATTACAGCACTCAACCTGGGAAAGAGCACCTTGTAGGAACGGGGTACTGTTCCTTCTCTGCTGAATCTCTTTATCGAAGTATTGGTGAAAGGAAGAAGGCCTCTGCTGCGGAGTTATTTATTAGAAAATGCCAACTGACCAGTTACGGACTATTGGACAGGAAAGCGAAACTCTCATTTGCATCTTATTTACAAAAACAGAACATCCATATACTCTTGAACGCGTCTTCCTGAACTTTCCTGGGTATTCATTGACTGTTGCTCAAATCTAAGCAAATGCTACAAAGCGACTCCACAAATTCCGCAACAGATATCCCTTTTCAAGAGACGCAAAGCGAATTTACAAGAAGAAAATATGCTACTCGCATTCCCCCTCCATCAGTAGTATCACCGTTGCACTGGTAGTTCGTATATAGCTCGTTGTACATCATATGGTTATTCATGGCACTTTGCTAGCAAGTACCTCGTTGCTAACAGTGAAAACACCTTGATTGCGTGGTTGGGATTGTCCTCAAAAAGAGATTGGACCTTACGACGGTGTAGCGCTTTGTGTGCTTTCGCGACTCTTTGAGCTATACTGGGGTATGTCCGTGCGACAGTCGCAGAGTCTCTCACGCCAGGTTGGCCAATGGTTAGAGATCTTACCATCACAGTCCACTGACCCTTCAGGTCGGGGGTTGGAACATGCGTGGCGACCTTAAAAAGTGGCAATGCACCTGCGTTTCCCGCCAAACATCGCTGCCTTGCGATCAGGCTTTTGAGCCAAAGACCTTTTTCGAGTACCTTAATTGCCCAATCTGTCTAGGTCTAGGCGCCCTGGCACCCCACTTACGAGCATCATACCACAACTAACAACACTGTCCCATCACATCGGCCGTCGGGTGGTGCCATCAGGCGGATCTCCCGCGTTACTGCATACAGCAGGACGGGTAAGCGAAAACCTGCTGCTGCTGACGCCTTCCTTCCTTTCTCTTTCACACGTTTTCTTCCCCCACCATATTAAAGACTCGCTTCTTGTGGGCCCATCCGTTAGGGCTCATATCTCGTTTATTCTGCAGCAGTTTTGGCCGCAAGATGTGCGCGTCAGCCGGCGCTGACAGCCTTAGGCATCTTGAAATCCGTGTTCAAGCCTTGACCCCTAGTCTGTCTGGTTGATTTTAATGTTTGTACGCCTGTGCAAACAAGACAGCAAGCTGCTCTTGCTCTCACTCTGAACTCACTTGGCATCAATGTGTGCTGTGTATCAAAAACAAGAACTCATGAGGCAAGTAGATTAGTTAATCCAACTGCCCCATCACCCTCCGCTCAGCTTTAGTGATCCAGTAGCTGCTGTGGCAGGATGTGCATTGGGATGGTGTCGTCGTAGGTTACTGGGCGGTCAGATCCTTGCTTAACGGGATACCCCTCTGGACAGTCGCCTCTGTGCGGTTCGTCTGCCAACGTCTATGAATAAGTTTCACAAACGGGAAGTTGGTCGCTGTGTTTGCCCAGTCTACTAACCGTACATCTGACATAACTAAAGATAGGCTTTAAGACGCCTTGAATGCTCTGTTACAGCGAACTAAAAGCTCAGAGATCTATGCGATTGCAGAGGGCCTGAATGCACAAGTGGTCAGGCTTAGGGTATCTGAGACTAGACTAGGTAGTCAACATTGATTGCTTGGACTCGGTCCGCACGGATAGTGGCGAATGAGTACTTCAACTATGTTCTGACCATAGATTGTTTTGTACACTACTAACCTCCGAAAACGTATGTCATCTGGCCCTATGGTGTGCTCCATCAGCGTGTCAGCCATGAACCCAAATTTATCAGTTATCGATGGAGCGTATCAATAACTGACCTCCGTTCGTTTCGAAACACCTGTGGATTGCGACCACCCACTCGTCGGTATACATTTTGCAGAGCCGCTTAAAGTGCGAGTAGGTAGCTTAGCAACTGAAAGACTGGCAGATCTGGATATGAGAGGATTCTATCAGAATAGTCTTCTGAAATATTTTACACTTTTGCACGACGCTGTTAGGTTCACTGAAGCACTGGGTATCGGACAGAACAGTAACACTGCTTGATTCTATGGAAAATATTCCCGCCAGTCCAAAACATAATATGGCCCGACGAATTATCGGGCATCAAGTGAAAGTGAGCGTGCGTGTCGACCGTGGATCCCGGTGGGCACGGAAGACTAAGGAAATGAAGGAGACCCAGAAAGCCGGTAATGCCCGAAGATTATTTCAGTTGATCCGTGCGACTGGTCCCCGGAAACCATCTTTGAACGAAACTATCAAGAGTCGAAATTTCTTGAATAGAGAATGTCACCTCGACTGCTGGGTGAACAGTTTGAGCAACAATTCTCACGACCGTCTGTTGCCACCAAGTCGGATCCTAGAACGAAAGTAGAATCCTGGACAGGAACCTGGAGCCTCCTAATTCCTGGAAGGTCTATACCTGCACGCGTTCTTTCAAGCACAACCGAGCCGCTGATCCGGACGACCTCTTATCCGCATCGCTCAAAGATGAAGTCCCATATCCGCCCTTGTTTGGTGTGCTTGCCAGCATTTGGGAAAATGAGACTGTTCGAGACAACCTGGGAGAATCGGTGATAGCGCCCGTTTTCAAGAAAGGAACTCGTATTAAGTGCGGTAATCACTGGGCGATCAACCTCACCCTAGTCTTAACGAAACTTTCGGCGCCACTTTTCCTTCGTCGCCTTATGATGACTTATGAAACAGACTCAAGAGCAGTAAGCGGGTTTCATTGACCAGATTTCCACGCTCCGTCAGATGCTAAACAATGCTATACGTATAAACGACCAGCAGTTTTGGTTTTCTTAGATTTTCAAGGCGCGTTCGACGCGGTTGGCCGGTATTTTCTTCCTGACACGCTTGCCCACCAAGGAATGCCCCGGAAGTTTGTAAATATGATACGTACTTTGTATTCTCAGACTTCCGAACGTCTAAGAGTATATGGAAAACTTCGCAAAAGCTTTCTTACACAAATTGGTGTTCGTCAGCGGTGCCACTCTTCCCATTCCTATTTGATTTCGTGATCGACGAGGTAATGAGATTAACGCTCAAATGGCTTCCGGCGAAAACGTTGTCGACCTGAAAAATGCAGTTGACATGGTTCTCGTCCGCGAAGAGGAAAAGAAGGTACAGGTCCTTTCTGATGGACTGCCCAAAGTGATCCCGTCCTTCGGCATGCGCTTCGCATCCACAGAGTGCCAGGTTATGCTTCTGGATATGCCGTCACTGAATACACCACTCACAATTCAAGTAAAGGCACTCAAAGTTGTGGAGTGCTACGCCTAAGTTGAAAGTTGTCTTAGTTCCTACTTTAGTGTGGTGGGTGAGATTACTTCATGTATCTCAAGGGCTCGGGTCGCGTTCCCTAATTTGAGACACCTATGGCGTCAAAACGCTGTAGCTTGAATCTCAAGGGGTATGTGTATCAGGCTACAGTACCGGCTGGTTTTTATGGCTGTGAGACTTGGGCTTTTCGGGTAGCTGAACTGAGACGCCTTCAGGTTTTGACAACCGTAGTCGTTTAGGTTAGTGTCGGCGAACCCGTAACGAGGCAAGTGAGGAAAGTGAATGAACTTACATCGAAAAATGTGCCCAGTAGCAGAAGGCGCGTTATTGGGCATACCAAATCATAGCTTGTCGAAGTGCACGCTACCATCCATGCCCGTTTCGGATTGGCCGAAGCTGAGAGTTGACCAACTGTTGACCTGGCAAAGAGATGTGGAAGAGATTACGTAAATTTTGAACACTGTGGTTACGATGGGATGGGTTGCTCTTTATGCCCCTTGTGCGTGGTTGGTGAAGCTGCAAGATGTGGTTGCTTGTCGTTCTTGTTGTCACTTTCCATCCAGATTCCCTAAATGTGTGGACGCATCGGAATGATTGTTGTAGGCTAGAAATATGCCCAGTTCCATCATTATCATCACATCATCATCATTGTCAGCTGTAATAACCGCGTACTCGTCGTACAGTGGTTGTAGCTGCCGCAGTTTCGTTCACCGATGATTTGGGGGAAGGGGGAGGTAGCTGCGCAGTGCAGGCGGGAGCTGATAAATTGGTGCATAAATCCAGCACTTTCAGTGGGCTGTCAAGTGGGTGGTTGGAAAAGGAGCTATGCATTGAAGGCAATAGCTTGGATGCACGAGCGCCATTGAGGGCGCGAATGGGCCATTTCTGACAATGCCCAGTTCCCGTCCAGTTTCATTTGCTTCACGATAATGCTTCCATACATCTCATGGTTTAACGATAGCGATTCGTTACTGATGGTATTACGCTGTCGATGAGGCTCACAATTAAAAGCCGTAGTGGCTGAAAGAGTAAGAAGAAAGCCCCCACGGCGCACTGATGTGCTAACCATGATCGGTGGCGATGCGTTTGCGAGCACATTGCTAAGATTGGTGAGCAAATCATCAGCCATCTGATCCACAACCAATAGATGCACGTTCCGTTCGCCCGGAATCTGCACAATGTCTTTTTGTAGACAAGGTGACCGAGCATCTTCAACAATTAACGAGTAGGTCGATTGACATCTGCAGTTGGTTCCTGGTGGCCACCGTTAATAGTCACAAAGGCCGCCATCTTTGCTCTGCACATCCACATTTGATGTGAGTGCGTCCATCTCGAAAAGTGTTCATTCTGTTTCCCATTGTTCAACGCATATCTTCGCAGGTACATCGACCGACTCGGCTGATCGTTTCGGCAAGCTCGACCGGAACTCTCGAAGTCTGTCGTACTGATGACACGTCGATGAAACTCTCACGCCTAACTTCCCCGTGGATGCCATTCGGACAAACCCCATTTCCTTCCAACCTGCCAATCGCGTTATCAACTTTGAGCCTCTCTAGTGACGGTAAACAAATCTACGTAGGCGACGATCTCGGCCGGCTCGCCGCGGTTCAAGTAGACAGATTACCCGTTGCCGCAGACGTAACCGATGCACAAATATCACAACAAGAACAACCAATGAGTAATGACTTCTCGCGTAAGTTCTACCCCACCTGTTTTTCCTCTTTTGGCCGTACTCGGATACAATGTGCTCTTTGGTCTTTGAAGATATTCAGATGCACACCCATTATGTAGACCTCTTTGGTCGATTTCTGTTGACTGCATTTTATGCGTGCCTCAAGTTTTTGCAAAGGATATGCCGTCCATTCCTCTTTCGTGGAAACGTCTTCAAATCGGTAGAAAACCTAAGAATATACTTTGGGTGAAATAGACGCGTGAAGTCTGATTAGTGTCATCATCTTCAACACTTACTGCAACAGCAGAACGCCTCTCAGGACTGTCATACCGCTGAAGTCTTTAAAAGAAAAAAGGAATGATGATACTAGCCACTTTTTACCACACTTCACGGACATTCTTTTCACACCATTCTTTCATCCACTGCAGCGATCTCACAGACGGGAGCCGATATCGCTTCGGTGAACGCGCTTGAACGCGTGGATGCTTCTTCGCTGGCCGGTGTGAATCAGCTGGGCCAATTGAAAGTATGGGATTTACGCTGTGGACTGGATAAGCCACAACAGCGATTGATAAGGTGGGTTTTTTGGGCTTTCTCGGCCTTTTTATTTATCTAGAACATGAATTTTGGCTGCTAGACATTGCAACTCCATTCTATACGAAACACCCTCTGAACGCACTTATAGATCTTCAGTCATAGTTGACTTGACCGCTGACAGTCAGATTGGCCATAACCGTTGCTCAAAAGGCCTTCGTTCGCAGTGTGATTTAAAGACAATGAACGGAGGGTGAATCAACTCATAACAACTCTATACTAACTGATCCCATAATATTTTACTGCTATGTGATTGTGTAAATCTTTATCGTATCTTTCTTATTCTGGTGTTGCTAAGTGGTTCAAAGATCGTGTATTCTCCATGTATCTTAGCCGTCTAAAGATGCAAACGCAGGGATTTTTCTGGGGAAAAAACCGGTCAGTGCCTGGGATGTCTTATGCATGGATATTTCCGCCGCAATCCAGGATTTGTTGCTGCGATGTTACATTGATAACCAAGTGACAAGTCGGAACTCGCAAAGTTTCAGTAGTCTGTGTCACGTAAGTGAATTAATCCATCAATAATATATACAAATGGGAGTTGGCCAGAGCGATTGGTACCAATTAAACGTAAAGCGCGATACGTATAATGTGTATTGAAAGAGGGTGACGTGACTTAATAAACTAAGATGTCCTGATCTACCAAGCATCTCCAATGCTAGTCACAAACTGCCTTCTGGTAAATGAGAGAGTTAAAACACTATATCTCAGCTTCTACAAAAAATCCTCGTAGTTTGATGTATAGAGAACTTTCAAACTGTACTTCTTTTTCCCCGGTCAAACCCTTCCCTTGTCTGAGCTTGCTGTTTACTGCGTCTACCTCATAGACTCGATGTGCATTTGTAATCCCGCATGAACTTTTAACCCTTGACTTGTCGAACCAATTTGGTCGACCATCTTTTACGCGCGCTTTTTGACCATTTTGCGTTGCCACCTGCTGTGCTCAGGCGTGTGTCGCAAACTAAGCTCGATTTGCACTACTTCGTGCAAACTTCCATAATTGGAGGTTTGTGCCCTTTTTATTACGTATTTTATACATGTAGTACCGCGTCTTTTGATAAATCTCAAAAATCCACAATTTCCTCGCTTATGATTTTGCGCGTCACTCAAGTGGGATTTCCTGATTACGTCGAAGTCTTCTTTAAAGTGCTTGTTTTTTACGCTACTGTATCTATGCCCACAGGTACCAAAAGTGCGGTGGTCTTTGATGGAGTGAGGAGGTACATGGTTTCTTCAGGCACCACCAATCGGGCAGCTGCATTAAATGGTTTCTGATAAGGGGTAATATGTCCTATCCTTTAAGTGCCATAAACGTGCATACCCTTTTTTCGTCACACACTGTTTACGCTCTCTTTGGGCTTTACGGTATTTGTTTGTGGATCCTAGTGGGCAGTCATTTTCGGTTGATGTCTCTGAGAGAAGGTGCACTTCCGCTGTACTGCGTTTTGGGTTCAGTCTGTGGAAGACGGTAATATCTACAGTACACTATTGACCAATTTATGCGGAACTTTTACAGTGTAGACTGTCCTGTACGCTCGGATTTCTGCTAACGCTTCTCGATGGTGATCCATCCACTGAACACCAAATCCAGGAGTTCTATCATTTCTCTTTTTCCGTTTTGACCTCAAACTTTAAATGACCCTGTTGACTTTAATAGTTGTTGCATTCCACGCATCTTGCCAGAATCTCCAACGATGTTGTCAACATATTGTCTTCGATCGGGAGCTCCGAGATGTTTTTTGATGCTTTCTCATCCAGATTGCCCTTGACTATATCAGCCAGGTCTTGCACTCGTCTCTATGTCATCCATCGCATTGTCGATTCGTTTTTGTCTGGACCCGTGTATCATGTACAAGACGATCATTAGTATGGACACATGCTGGGAACAAGGAATCTTTACGCTCTGGCAACGTGCATATTTGCTTGTCGAAGTAGCTCGTAACTGTAGCGGTTCGTCAACCTAATTTGCTCATGGATCACGTACATTGTAAGTACAGTCGCTGAGCCTGTCCACTGCCCTTAACCTTGGCCCATTTCCACTCTCCGGACAACCGTTAAACGTCCGGGAGCGAGCTATTTTCATCGTCCCCTCAAATACTTACGCGCTGATGGGTGTTGAAATATGTATTACTATGTTTGAATAGTTCAACGAACCGCTGGAGTGGGTTTCACGCAGCAGACAAAGGATACATTCATCCCATCCCTTCTCTCTCTCTCTGTGCCTTACAGACCTTCAGAGACACAGCCACTCTATTGTCTTTCTCACCACCCTGGTCAGCCTCACCTTCTTGCTGTTGGGGGCGTCGAAGGCTCAGGTACACCGGCCTATATATGGGACTTGCGTGCCGACCAGTATCCGCTAACTGAAGTGGCTTGTCAAGGTCGAAGTGTGTGGGAAGTCGGCTTCCATCCCCGTCAACCTCAACATTTATATCTGGCCACAGAGACGGCTGGTTTGCTACAAATCAGCTGTCGAAACGAGACAGGTTTGTGACCTTTACTATCTGTTTGTTTCGTTAGCACCAGCTTTTCCCTGCCTTTCCAGCTCGACTCGTTTGCGCAATAGGTACAATCTGCTTTCAGCTCTTAGTTTTCCATTTTAAAACCACAAAAGCTTTTCAATGTTAAATTATCCTGTAAAAATAGTTTACTGATGTTCGTTTTACATACGGTCCTTATTTAAACACTCCACTCATCGAGGCGGCGAATCGTTTTATCCTTTATATTCTCTTCAGGTTCGTGGACCGGCTTCAAAGGCTCACGGAGAAAGCTCGTCGTCGGTTCCGCCCTTCCCACTGGTACCACAGCCCGTAACGTCATCTCGTTCGATATGACCAATACCCAGCTGATATGTGGTCATTCAGATGCTATCCTGCAAACGACATCCTGTGAAACATTTTCGTAGCGAAACGTTCCTCACCATCTGTCACGTGTATCTGGCCGTGCATTTAAGTTGTATCTACTTTCTGGACTTACCCGTTTTGATATGAACTTCTCATGAAATCGAGTAACTTATCACATCAGGTTATTTGCTTTCTTCTGTATTGTGCACTTCATTCTGTTTCGACTGCGGTTTAGGTAAGTCTAATACCTCTAGGTTAGAACTGTAGAGGACGGATCTTGAAGCACAAAACACTGAAATCGTACGCACCAGGCCTCGCAATGCGCTCAGACACTGTTTGTACTGACAGTCAACTCTCTCGGCTCTCGGTAAACCGACCAGATCACATGGTCACAAGCATCCAACTCCTATCCGAATTCCTTTGTATTCTAGTAAAGTTTCATGTCGTTTGAACGGGTAGAACCGAAACGGGCCCGATACGTTCTTAATTCGGTCATCGGACTTGCGATTTAACCGCGATCTCTGTCCAAAACCGTTACAGCGACCCGTTCTCTGTTGCCATTTTACAATGATCTCTTACCACGCATGTACCACCGACATAAAATGTACTTACTCCTGCCGCCACGTAAGCCGCTTCGTTCCCATATTCTTACATTCAAACCCCATCGCACGATTATGATGCATTTCAATTTTACGAACACGTGTTTCTGTGAGGGCTTTACAGTAGAAAAAGCGGACAGAAATATGGGCAACAGTCGATTTGCAACCTGACATTAAATTTGCTTGTTCAGTTGTCAGCTGTGTGAACCAGCAAAGAGATCAGAAGCTTGGACAACTTGTAGGTATGCAGATGAGTGTGTGGGTCGAATTTGGGTTCAAGTAGTGAATGATTGTCGAAAACTCTACCTGATGAGCTGAGCCCCAAGAAGTGCGAAACCGGCTGTGGGTTGTTGAAGAGTTTTCAGCAACCTTGTGAGTAGTGTATTATATCTATCCAGTGTATTCCGTATCTGGAATATCGTACATGGGAACATGGACGGACCTGGAGCGGCACATTTAGTTGCAAACGAGAGATTCAGCTGGATGGTCTGGAGGTGGGGTCGTGTCGCCCTCTGTGATAGAATTATATAGGCAGTAGGGCATTTCCCCATGTGATGAGCATATCCATATATGTGGAAGAAGTTATGCTGCCTTCTCCCACCATGTTGTCCCTAAGAACCTCACACTCCGATCGCTCAACAGTTGGCCGTGACTACTGGCGCCTTATTCAATACGGTGAAAATGCTTTTGAAATCGGAGTTTGGTGCTGCTTAAATGGTGCCTGCTGTGGCAGGTACATTAACAGTGCGACGGTAATGCCTTCCTCCCTGCGTCCTCTGGCCAGGCCGGTCTCCTGCAGCCAAAGAGGTCAGACTATTGAATCGTTGACTCCGGGAAGGCTCCCTTAAGAAAACCGTAACAACCACTGCCTCGCGTTCCAGATTTTTGAGTCAGAGGCTAGGGGCACGGTCCTCGAACAAACCCCCTTCAGTTTGGGCAACCGAAAAATATCGTTCGCCCATGCGACTCTTCGTCCACCGGCTTTCCATTCCACTCGCCGAAAGATACAGTACCATCAACCATCTGCCAATCCCCTGGCC